TACGTTGGATCAGCATTGATCTAATCGGCCCAAAATAACGAATATAAATATAGAGGCAAGACCGATACAACGTAGATAAGTTTTAAAACGGAGCACTATATTTCGGCTGGCCAAACCAGCCTTTTTCAGGTGCAGTGAAGAATAAGATCAAAGAATAAGCTAGAGAAAAGGGTGGGATCTGGAACGAGATTAGGTGAAACGCAAAGATTACCGTATTCAATGGAAGCTCCATTTGGTGGAGGGGGGAGGACACATTACGGACAAAGGATAAACGTCCTTTGAAAAGCGGTTACTTTTCGATGAAGACACTAAATACAAATATGGTACGGTGGAAGCTAAATTCGAGGGAGGCATCCGGGACATATGGTCAAGTATATAGTAAAAAAAAAGGAATAAAAAAGCAGACGAACCGGTATTACCTGTCAACAAGGGTACCTGCAACAATGGCGCCCACAAAGCGAAAAGTAGATTGTGTAAATAAAAGCCAACTCAATGCATCGAGTATGTCAATATTTGTAAAAAACGATATCAAATAATCCGTTAGCGTTGGTCCAGCCATTCCCACTGACATCCCAAACATGAAAAACGTGCTGAAGTAAAGAAAATGTGCGAAAATAGATTTGCAGTGTGGAGAGCAGTGTCTTCTTAAATCTTCAACTTGATCCGCGTAAGACTTGATCCTCCGCCAAATCACCGGAAAAATCACTTGCCGAAGCATTTCTTGTTCTTGGAATTGACTTTGGACCCAGTGACTCTTTTTTCAGAAAAATTCCAAGTCTATGGCCTTATGACTTGAGAGATTTCCTTCTAAACGAATATGGAGAGTAATTTCGACCCAGAAGTGCCTAAATGCTTGCCTCTAAGTTGTGTTCTCCCTTCGCTGAAAACCACCGGTTTTTGATGCGTCTTAACGTAATTCTGGTGTTAAATTTGAGGCTCAGAAACACAGCAGTTTGTTTCTTTGTACACTAGTCATCATCAAACTAAATGCGTGGCAGGTTAAAACTTCCCTCCGTGACACTGTTATCACACGTTTCAGGACGAAAAAAAAAACCGCTTTTTTTTGCCAAAGTTTCCTTTCGCGTCGTTTTGTTCCTCAATTGCTCACAGAAAGTTTCTTTCAAATTGGAAATTCTACACTGTAATAAGGCAAACAAATCCGAGTCTGTTTACAGATAAATCATCAGAGACAGTGAAGCAATTAACTATCATGTTTGCCAAGGAGGCGTGAGAAGAGTTTTCCTGTCGCGGGGGAGGGGGGGGGGGAGATTGCTCAATAAGTGTTACATGAAAACGGGGGTATGGCAGGCTGCGTTGCTTTATGATATAGATCGTATCGCTTTCCCTCCCTAAAGATGAGGTCGCTTTTGCCATACGAACCCCCCCTTTTTTTCTTGTCTCTCCTTTCTTCTTTGACAGCAACCTGCAGTGAGCAGGTAAACAGAACAAACCCTCAGTTTACAGCTGATCTCCTCAAAACCGGGAAAAAAAAAAATCGCCCTACAGGCCAAATAATGCCACCAAAAATTCATACCTCCGCTGGGTTATTAGTCTGAGGGGATGAAAAGTTTAAAGCCATTTTAAAAAATGAGTAGTTTTCATAAACCTTTTTTTTTTTTTCATTCTAATTAAGTCGAAGGTACCAGACATTTGATAGTTTGGCTGTCGTACTTGTGCCTCTGAATTGTGATCAAGTCAAGCGTGCTGACACGAGCTAAGTATATAACATTGTATGAATAGAACTCTTGAACGCGCGGAGTCCTTAAAACTCATGCGCAGATTAAAGCTCAGGTAATACTTCGTGTTGTCGGCTCTCCTCTGCTTAGATTTTCACTCCAAACAAGACTGGTGCCCCGGCAGAAGGCAATATTGACTTTTTTCATATTTTCGTAAAACAGACCTTTACCTAGCGGAAAGCTCAACGAAGTGAACGCGTAAATCCTATGTTAAATGGACACTTCAAGGGGTTTCGATAGAGATTTCGAATATTTTAGAGAGCTGAATAGTTTTAAAATTGAGTTCAGTTAACGCGTACAAAAGTTAAAAAGAGAATCGGATGGAAGTCGGTAACGAGAGGGTCTCGATGAGGTTATCCGTTAGCGGCCGTAAAACGGCCCAAAAGTTTAGCTGTTAGGCGTAATAATTGACAAATTTTAACCGTTAATCGTAAAAAAAATAACCGTAGAAATTTTTCTTTTAATAACAAAGAATGGAAGGTAACCGTTAGCCGTAAAGTGGCCAAAATTTTAACCGTTAGCCGTAAAAGCCATCACCCCATTCAGGCCCCTGTTGAACCAATAAGCGAAACGCAACTTCTGCGTCTCAGAAAATATATGTGCAATCAGTTTTTCTTAGTTACGGACCTCCGCTATCAAAGAGCATAGCCGAGAATTGAGGGGCAGACAAAGTATCAAAATGATTCGTTAAGTGCAGTACTCAACGATTTGCATGGTTGGAACTGTATCAGATTGAAACATCAATCTTGTTATTGTTGCGTGAATGTATTAGGTGGACACCCTGTTTCAAGACGATGCTGATCCGGTGATCTATTTGCTTTAAGCCCAAAGAAGACAAGCACTGGAAGTCGAAAAAATTGGCTCATAAAAGTCCTCGTTAGCTGCGACGCCAGTTTTAAAATAATCAAAAAGTTTGCAAATCCCTCACTTCCGGCTCGTGTTTTATAAACTGTTCCCATGTTCTCTGAACATTCCGCGTGGGTTATTACGCCAGTAAACCAATAGAAGAAGCGGAATTCTATTGCTTAACAATTCTATGTGATTCCACCACCAGAAATTCGGCTTTTTGTGGTTTCTGATCTAGTTAATATCATTATGCTGCTCGTAATGCATCATGGGATTCACATGGACGCGAATATAAATAATTGTGTATGCGATTTTTCAAGTGGTACAAGAACAGAAACGTCAATACCAATTAGTGGTAACTAGAGTATCAACATTCGGACAATTATCACCTCAATTTAAGGGATATCTTCTAATAAGGCTTGAACTTGTCTAAATTGGCCAAACAGCTAATGATAACAAACAGGTTGCAGCACAAAAATACCTCGCCATGAGTGCGCGAGGTTGCGATCTATGATTTTGACAGAGTATTCGAGGTTTAGATTTTACGGGGAAATCACTAGGTTAAAAAGTAAAACTTCATTTTGAGAGCTACAAAGGTATTTAGAACCTCATCAACACTGACAGTTACATTACCTGTCTAACACGATCCCAGCTACGCTTGCTCCAAGCAAAGCATAAGCTGCCTGGGTAAAGAACAACCAACTCATCATATCCAACCCATGATGAACCAAATGTCCTAATTCGATCAAAGTAGGTCCTAAAATTGCCATTGTAGTTCCGAAAGAGAAAAAACAGCCACAGTACAGAGCAGTTATAAACACACGGCGTGATAAATCAGTTCTGTTTTCGTTTGAGCGAAAATTTTCCGTTTGGTTCTCATTTCTTGAGGCTCGTTCTTGAGCAATAGTCAAGCCAAGAAGATGAATAAAACTCATAACGTCTTTTTTTCGTCATGTGTGAAGACAGCGGAAGCCAACGTTCAAAACCACAGCAACGAAACTTTCATATTTGAAGCCAAACGTACAGTTGTTTAGGTTGAGAAATTGATAAAATACTACACAATCAACTTGGTTTCTCTTCATCAAGGGAAAATTCTAAGCTATGAAACAAACGCAGAAATCGCTGCTTTATCTCAAAAGAAAGGATAATATTATCGAAGCACGCCGTAACCTCTTCTCCATGATGCTAGGAGATTGATTTTTTCAAATATGGCTGACTTTTGGCGGTTGGTGGTTGTTCGTTAATAATTCATAACGCTCCACTTGTTGCATGTACTTAGGGAGCGTGTGTTTTAAACAAAAAGTGGGAGGTGAGCAGGAGATTGACAGGCAAACATTTTTTCACTAGGATCAAGTAAATTCCCTAAAATTCTCCGGCAAATTTTGTCTCAAAACTCCAATAACTTAAAGTTTAAAGCCAAATTAAACTTGTCAAAGAGCGCAGCAAGTTTTTAATTTCGGGTGGTTGTTTTACTTTTAATCATTTTTTCTTTGTGAGCGAATAGAGAAAAGTAGAAGTTTAATTGGTTGGGTAATAAAAACAGTTTTGATTTTATCATAAACAACAACCTGCTAGTGACCTTGCTTAAAATTCTAGAGGAGAATCTGAGATATTAAATCGATTTTTTTCTTATAATACCTCTTATGAACTTGCGTTCTTCAAATTTTAGATATGATAGCTGTAGGCATAACTATTTCTTTCCGATGCTAAAAACTGGTCGTTTATAGTTTATCCCCTCAGGTATAAATGTAAGCAATGGCTAGCCAAACTGATTTTTCTATGTCCTGAAAACTGGTGTGGAGAACTCATCGATAAATTTCCCTTACATTAGTGACAGATTGCTACATCTAAGACTAAAAACTACGCTTGAAAATGAAAAAAAAAAAAAAGCAACAACTCTTCGGTAAAAAAGGAGAACGACATTTATAGTCAATCATCATATTTACGAACAGGAAGTGTCGTACTTGACATGGTAAATCAAACAGAAGTTGATTCCAACCAAGCCGGAAGTACTCGTCCAATCCGGAAGTGATCCGCGTAAAGTGAGTGTATGTGTTGTTTGTAAATGAAGAGAACAGAAATGAATACGAGAAATGGAAATTCCAAAATGAATTGATTATTGATTCCGTTATTTACTTTATATTCCTTGCCAAATATTTACAATTCCTAAAAGCTAACTAACGTGAGAAAGCAGTCGTTTTCCCAACGCCAAATTTTTCAAAAAATTCCCAAAGAAAGCAAATATGAAAATATTACAAAGAACATTCCCTCTTCCTTAGAATAAAAGGAGTAAAACTTTTTAAACGGCATTCAGGAAGGACAACACCGCTCGCAGCTCCCAGAATACTGAGGAGGTGTCAGCAAAAATTATTTCTCCACTTTTGTCAATGGTTTGCATTTGACTTTTAATTGTTAATTGATGACGGCAAATCATTTTGTTTTTAATCTCAGAAAAATTAAAAAAGCCTTGCTTATCCTAACCAGGAGTAATTCTATTAGTCTTCTTGTCGCATAAAAAGTGAATAAATTTTTTGAGATACTTGTCATCTCAATATTTTTCTTAAAACTTGCCGTCAAATTTGGTACTCATAGTGTTCTTCGTCTAAATCTCTGATGGAGTGCTTATGGAGAGAAGCCCCTTTCGAACAAAACTATTGAAAGTATCTTTAGCTTAACCGAATTGAATTATACAATAGAAGAGGTATTAAAACAGAAGACATCTCATCTCGTGCAGGCGTGATAGGTTCTGTTAACTTTGAAGCTCCACAACTCTATGTGCTTCCTCTCCTCTAATAAGTTCATCGTTCCCAGTTTCTTCAGTTTCCTCGTCACACGTGACCAGAGGGGTGTATTCACAATCGTCACAGGCCTGGTTACACCGGCAAAGGCGCTTTATGGCGGTACGATAAACATCATGCACTGAATAAAGAAAAAGAAAGGTCACAATTTCTACACGCATTCAAAGCGAATGGCCACCTTATTTAGAGAAACAAAATTACTTAAGTTTTAAATATAATTTCCAAGTCCTGTACGAACTTTAAAATCTTTGTAATTTCAACGACATGACATAACTCTGAAAAACTAGTTACTGAAGTAAAGCAAGTCCGCTTACCTGGTTGGTTGATCTGTGCCTTGGCAGTCATGCGCAAAGTCAGAAAAACAAGAAGGGCGAAAGTACAAACCAAGAAGCCGATCACAAGGAAGGAGAGCGGTCCATTCCGCGGGAAGGCCTGGGACGAAAAAGACATCGATCAGTAAACCTTTATTAGAGAACTGGGCTCTAAAAATATTTTGAGTTTGAATGCTATTGGTTAGTAAGAAAAATAAGATCAGTTAAGTTTCCTATTCCGCTGACACTTAGCTTGTACTAGTTCAGAGTTTGAGCGTATTTATTGTATCTGCTGATAAGAACATCTACTAACGCTGTCGCTGTTAGTAATGGTATCCTCTGAAAACTTCAAACGACCTGAAAATTCAAACTCTATTCGCATACCCGGGGTAAATGTTTAAAATCTCGGTTTTTCGAACACCGGTTCAAAATTAACCGTTTTTCTAAAAAAAACCGTCATAGAACGCTTTCAACATTACTAATGATAGCTGTATGCAAAACGGTTGTCGCAAGAAAGAGTTCTCTATGGACAACAAAATTGGAAATGTTTCAGATGGAATTTCAGCCATGTCGTGGTAATCACAGTTTTGCTCTGTCGGACGCTGTTGACAAAAGCTTACAAAATAAAAGGCTTACAAATATATTTTCTAAACTTGTGTGTAATCTACTCTCACAAGAAATAATAATCACCTTTCCGATGAGTAGTGGGAATACCATCTCTCCTGTTGCAGAGCTAACAATTAGGATGCTGGTTATGGAGCCTAAATAAATACGATAACAATTTTTTTTTTCATCTTAGCTGCTCAACAAAGATATACCATTTTGCCGTGCATCTGTTCAGCAATAGATCACGGATGACGTCCAAATTTGATGATGACGTCATCTATGCCCCTCTCTTCCAATAGATCATCAGTAAGAACCAATCAACACGCGTGTAAAATTCAGCGTATCAGATAATTCAGGACATTGTAAGGTTAATAGTTACTATGGTGACAGTTGTTGTACCTGTGACGTCAATGTAGTGTTCAGCCATAGACAGAGTGGAAGGAAACACAGAACTCATAAACAAACCAAACGCCGCGCTGCCGATCCATAATGCCAAAGACACATCGTGCAGATATAACATAAAGGATATTGCTGTAAAGCATCCAAACTGCAAAGCGAATGACACTTAAAGTTGACAGTTTTGTTTTGAAATGGAAATTCTTTAAAAAGAAGAAACTTGGCATTTATGATGGGTGAATATAAAACAATAAAGTTCTTCATGTCTATTAACTTACCAGATTAACAAAAAGCATTTTATCCGGTATCAGAAACACAGAAACAACGATAGAAATAAATCTCCCAGCGGCGAAGGAACACTTAAAGAAGAATGAAAAAGAAACTGTAAGTACCAAATTACTTCATTAAGTCTGAAACTCGTAAGATCCGACCGATAATTCTCCCTTCTGACTTCTATACATTTCCATGTCAATTGGTTGAAGGAATTCATTTTTACGATCGTCATGCGATCAGGACCTGGTTGACTGATTATGTTTATCACTTTGGAGATTTAAACTGATAAGTTGAAAGGGAAAAGATTGGGAAACTGAAATAGACGACTTGTTTTCCGCGAGTTTTCTCTTACAAAATTCCTTAACATTTATCAGATAACACTATTGTGGACAATATCGAAAATTCGATTGTATACCCAGAATAAAGAATTAAGGTAAGCAGCGTGACTCGGAGACATGCGCATCTCGCTTTTGACTGCGTACGTGTATAAGTAGCCACCATATGCACCCTAGAAAAAGAGAAATACAATAATGAGAATATTTATAAGGAAAACAACTTGAACATTTGATTAGAGAGCGCTTTTCTACCGAGTGTCGTAAAACCAAACCCAAAACAATCACAACAGCCAATCAAAGCAAGGAAAATATCACGAGGAGCCAATGCAACCTCGTTCCCAGGGCCTTTTCCCTTAGTTGGGGGTGGAGTTGCGTGTGGGGCGGGAAAAGGCCCTGGGATCGAGGTTGGAGCCAATGAGAACCTAAAAACAAGCAATCTGCTTGAAGCGCGGGAAAACGCGAGGGACCAAGTCGTGCTTGGTTTTACTTTTGAATCTGATTGGTTGAGAAAGTGGCGTGTGTCTTCTGGACCAATCAGAGAGCGAAGTAAAGCAAAAGGAAAGCAATCACAGACAACTTTCGACTTCCAAATGAATATTGCTCTAAATTTGTCTATGCTGGCTACCAATAAGAAAAGTTTTTTTCCAGGCTGTGGTGAAAAAAAAAAAAAATAAATAAAATAACTCATTCATTCCGCCTGGGAAGTTTGGGAAGCACCTAAATAACTTGAAATGCCAATGCTAAATTTCCACAAAGCACAATATTTGACTTAATTTCTTCTAAAAATATGGTTACTGCTGTCAACGTTAAATTCTGACAAATAAGATGTTTACAATACCTGTAGGCCATCAAACAGAAATAACAACAGGCCAGCGAGGATAGTTACCAGCGGTATCTTAGCGGGAAGACTACACAGCGATAATCTTATTGAAGAGTCAGCGGTTGGTTTCAACACTTGTGGTAAATCTACAAAAGACGAAAAAAACTGCATTGTGTGAAATGCCCAATTGAGGACAATACCTCAGCCATAGTTGGGTCAATTTTTTGACGCTGCTTGACTGGTGTTCTACCTTCACTTTCAGTTTCGTCGCCATTCCCAGCAGGCAAAGCGGCAAGAGTTACCACCCTTCCAGCGAAAATATCTGGTGACCAGCGTCTAAGGTATCGCTGCCTGTAGATGAGATAAAATAAACCTGACTGCACGGGAACCTGAAAGAGAAGAGAATAGTTTGGGGTTAATCCTTCACACTCTAACATCAGTATTTCTATTCTCCATACCGTTCTCTATACATTTCCCTATAGGGTATTCGGTCAATTCGCCACTATAACAAACTCGTCACCACAATACTCGCCGCCACTCAGTTTTGTGGTGGCGAGTTTGTTGTGGTGGCGAATTGACCGTAAAACTCCAAAGGTGCTAAGGTGGTTTCTTTAATTGGTGATCATTTCCTTTAATTTCGTTACCTAATGTTTGATTAAGAGGGTGATAGTGCATAGATCAATTATATGATGGTCACTCTAACGGGCCAAAGGGTTAATGTATGAAACAATAAGTCGTCGTTGTTTTTAAGAACAAAGTAGGTTGAGCCTGAACACTTAATGTTCAGAAACACGCGCAGATCGCGTAAGGGCATAGATATGTGTAGACAAAAAGAGGGACAGATATGGAGATAAATAGACAGACAGACAGACAATTTGGTACTATCAACTATATTGAAATTGTAAATTGGCCACCCTAAAGAGTTAAAAAGCTGATGTTTCGGGCGTTAGCCCTTCGCCACAGCGAATCTCACAGACAGACAGACAAACAGACAGACAGACACGGAAAGTCATAGAGACGGAAAGACGGACGGATAGACAGACAGACAGACAGACAGACAGACGGACAGACAGACAGACAGACAGACAGACAGACGGACGGACAGACAGACAGACAGACAAGCAGACAGACAGACGGACAGACAGACAAGCAGACAGACAGACGGACAGACAGACAGACAGACAAACAGATAGACAGGCTGACAAAAAGGGCTATGCAGGTGACCTGACCTGAAGAAGTGCCACAAGCCAATAGGCGTATTGAACAAAAGACTTTGTATGATAGTGACGTGGGCCCATCATCTCTGATATGGTTTCATTTATTATTGTCAGGTTGACATCGATATCTTGAAAGCCGTCAATGCTGTACTCTGACAATCGCTCTAGGGTCGAGTTCTCCAAGGTCCAACCAAAGATGTTACTCTTGAAATGTCCATCTGGGCACGCGCTCCGCAGAAATGGCTCTGCAATGACTGGGCTGACTAATGCTCCCAGGCCGTAAAAGAAGTGAAGAGACTGTGGAGGCAAAATAATTTAGTACTTAAAGGAAGTGTTTGTAGCTAATTGGTTTGATGGGAAGTTTTAGAGCGTGAATTTCACGTAAGAATATATATCTCCTTAGCAAAAATTTGATAATTGGATGACGCATTTCAAGAGTTTTCATTGACCTAGCCGTCATGAATTATAAGCTATTATATCTTACGCGCGCATGAAGATGAGTTAAACCGGAAGTGTTTTTGTACATCGTAACATTCCGTTTGTTCTTACAAAATAAAGTTATCGATATTTTTGGGCGTTTTTAATAAAAAAAATTATTCCATTCACGCTTGTTGGACATTACATGATTATAGTCAGCTCGGCCCTATGGGCCTCGTTGGCTATCATCTCACATTCAACGCGCGCTAAAAATTCTAATCAATCCATCTGTCACATTACAAAAGGCTCTGCTTACTGTAATCTTCGTTCAACTTACTTGCAACCTTGGCGCCACCTAAAATGATAAGAAAGAGGGATGAGTTAAATGATAAAGTTATGAGTAAAAGGGCTTTAGTTTCTCCTTGTAAACTCTTTTTTAATTCATAAGAGATTTTACAATTGATTCTTATACTGTGTTTTCGTTCGTGGCCTACAAACCTTTTTCCCATGAATCTTGATGAGGACACTATTCGACACGGTGTCAATCACTCCCATGTGGACCCCCAACAGGGCGAAAAATGCCAACATTACGCCAAACACGTGACACACTGGTATTATGGCAAGATAGATTGCTACAGACGTCACGCAATACAGCAGTATGATATTGCAGTCGTACCTGAAATTTTAAAGAAAATTCGGATCAATCTCAGTATCTAAGCAACTGCACGCTTACCCCTCCCCTCCCCTAACTCCATATTAACCCTAAATTGTTATCAGTTGACTGTTGTTGAGTTAAGGGAGGGGTGGGTGCACATTTGCTTAGATTCAGACATTGGTCTGACACTTCAAGTTATATCTTAAATAAATATCACTTTCGACGAGAATTTTTCAACGATAACATAATACCGTTTCTTTTTCTAATCAATTAATTTTTCTGTGTCATTATCAAATGAAATACTATACCACAAAATTAGGCAAAAAAATTTACGGTAACATTTCCTCGAGTGAATCAAGACTTCTAGAAACATATAACCGCTCAGCCGAAAATTGAATTCATCGAAATTGAAAGCACAATTTTATCATTTAAGGTTATTTTTTAATTCTTATTAGAATTTACCAAAGCTGCCACTCTCATCTTATGCTTTTGGACGCAGTTTCGATATCACTTTTTAGCTTTTACGATATGCAACATGCATTGTTAATTATAAAACCAATGTTTCCGATTTGAAAAGAGGGAGATTATGCCATAAAATACGTTTCTAAAGAGCATAGTGGTGCTACATTTTTAGATTCCTTACTGGGGGACTTCTAAGTTATCTTTGGACAGAACACAGTAACCGTTCGCCGTCCAAAATGAAAATATCTCTCTCCACAGCTAGTTTAAAAAAGATATTGAACATTTAAACATAATTCATTGTACAAGTTAATGGAGTTAAGGCGCTTAAGAAATAATAATAATGCCGCAGGAAGTCTTAAATCTATTTCACCTAGAAGTGAAGAAAAATAATAATTGTCTGTTAGCTTACGTGTTAACAGATTGTCGCATTTTCAAAGTTTTTGAAGGTTTTTTGAGGTTGCACTGGTTGTCTATATATACTTTGGGCAAAGAATTCTACCAGTTCAGTAAAAATGCTAGCAAACCGCTTTGTTTAAGATAAGATTTTACCGAGAAACAAGCCAATTATTTTATGATAATAACTCACTCATTTCTACCTTTATCCTCACTGGTGCAAATATTAACAAAGTAAATAAAACATTTTCCTCGGGAGAAAAATCCCATCTACATAATAGTACAATATTCATAACCTAAGGAGACTTAAGGATTTACTCACTCAATTTTTTGAAAAAAAGCTTTAAATCCCACGCGTTAAAGAATGGATGTTAAGAAAAATTATGTAAAAGAGTTCTACCGATCTGGCTATAGAAAATAGTTTCGACTATTCCCACCTTTAAATCAGACCCTGAAACTACTTGATTTTTGTTGACAGTTTTATTTAGTTTGCCATCAAATAAATCAAAGGTTCTGTATACCTGTCTGCCAAGAATCCTCCTATGCTAGAACCAAAGAGAGCACTTAAAGCTTGCGAAAAAAATAACCAACTCATTACGTTTAACGGCCGATTCGTAACACAGCCCAGTTCGAGTAAGGTTGGTCCAATTACGGCAGCAGCCATTCCAAAAGTCCAGAAGGAACCACAATAACATATCGTTGCCTTAACGCTCCGTAGAAATTCCTCCTCATTCCTGTAACTTTTTAGTCTCGATGTTGGTGAGTTGTCCTCCGATAGCGAACCTTTCTCCCGCTTGATCGTTGTTTCAAAAATACTCGGCACTTCTCCCCTAAAAAAATTCTCCAACATGCTGGTCAATGATTCTTTTGTGGTATTTCGTGTAGACGCCAGCGAACTATAAGCGCAGATCTCCAGTTCGCTAACAAGCGAAACGCATCAGAAATCTGTGAAATCAGTTCACTCCATTTTGTCTCGATCTAAAATACCGCGGAATGGAAATAGATGCTTGTGACGTCACACGATTTGGAGCGAACAAAATCCGTTTAAAACAAACAAAGCTTGCGAGTGAAAAATTTTCTGAGATTAGCCTTGTCGCCTGTAGTTCACTCAAGTATATTCGCTCTATATAACAAATCATTGTTTATCTTCCATTATTTGGGCTGTTATTGTGATTATATTGTTCGCCTGCATTTGACGAGGCTAAGATTTTGTTTCGAATATATTGTTCGCGACAAGGCTCGGCCAATCAAATATTCATGACGTTATGTTTTATTTATTTGATGGGTACGACTGATTCTTGCAAAACTTTTGAATATTGCTATACGTAGACGGTATATCTTAGAAGACAGAGAGATGTTTCAAAACTTAGGAATAACATAGATTTTGTGCGAGGACTATTGCTTTAAAAGAACTTAGCTGAAATCTTTGAATGATGAACATTTGTCACCAACTGGTTCACTTTGATTGGTTTTAAACTTTTGCTAAATTTATACACAAAAAGTGTTCAAAATTTTTTTTCTCTAACAATTGCCTACATTTTTCCCCCTATTTTACTTCGGCGTGAAATAATTTGTTTAAAAAAAAAAATTAATTTTTATGGATATAGAAAGAAAGAATTTCGATTCTTTAAATTTCAATTATTCAAAATTTCAATTAGCTAGAACATCTCTTTGAATCTTACTTACGAAAGTTCTTAATTATTTAAAATATTCAAATTTAAAGAAACCTCAGATTCTGAAAATCATGTTAGGTGACTGTGTAGAAATTACGGTTCCCTGTGGTACAGTGTGGGATTTCTAGCTTATTTGACAGATCGGCAAACTGTGAACGATGTAATTAAGTTATCAGCTCAGGTAATCAGTGTGATAAACAAGAGCGTTGTCAGGAACAAATCTTATCGTAATTGGAATCTAGCCAGAAATAAAGATTGGCAAATTGCTTCTTCTTCTCCCTTTTTCATTCTCTTTTTTAATTTTATTTTTTTTTCTTAATTTTGAATAAAGTATTAGAGATATAAAAGCAAAAATAAACTAGATATGGTAGATTTTTGTTTCTTTACTTGCGATACACAAAACATTGCGATTTATTAAAGTTTCACATGGTGTCAAGAACACTCCTAAAGTGGATTTCCACCAGGGAGTTAACATCTTTGAAACTGACCAAAGAGATATATAAACATTTGCAGTTTAACTGGAGAATTACACCAAACAGGGAACGGTAACCCACTACAGGGCGAGCGAGATAACAGCAGTGGGGGTCTGGGGAGGAATGATGAAGTGATTTTGTTGTTTCGATTTCATTTTTTTTGCCTTTCACTCGTCGGCTTTTTTGCGCGTCTGCTCAAGGCTAATGGAGCAATACGATAGTAGGAAAGAAAAGATTCACCACATATATCACCATTGCTTCTGAAAGTTCGTTTTTTTCTTCCAGGAAGAGGAACGATAAATTAATGCAAATGATTTGGGGCAAATGACGAAGTGCAAATATTGGGAGCCTGGCTTAAAATCATTCCCAGACATTACTCGTTCAGGCATCGGAAAAAAACTAGGGCATAGGCCCGAGTAATATTAACAGCCGTATTCTGTTTTACATTTATTTTATTTCCTACCCAATACCAACTCACGTAATCTTTACAATACTCATGCATTCCAGAACATCATACTTATTTTCAAAGGTTGGCATGCGTCCACTTTGTAATACTTCATTATTCCCATGTTATACTTTGTTTTAAATTCATGTTGTAATTTAAAACGTTCCTGTTCAATTTTAACTCACTTATTCCCACAAGTTATCAAAAAGCTACAAGATTTCAAAAAATCGAACGAGGTCTGAGAAGTCTCCATACGATTTCTCTACTTAACTTCCTCTTGTTCAATTAATCGTCAACCACAAATATTTTTCATGTGATTCTCCAAAAGAAAAAATCAAATGAAATCCAAATCAATATGAGAGAAGTTAATGTGTTTGTTCCGATGCAGAAAGTCACCCTAGCAAAAAACTACTGTCTTAAAAAAACAGCTTTTTTTTGGTTTAAATTTCTTTAAACCAAGAAAGATTTTTCAACTGCAATAAGTATATCAAGAACTTATCAGCCTTCAAAGGAAGAAACAAAAAACAAAAAAAGGGCAACGTCACGGAACCATTAGCCGGCGAGGAGGCCTTCATGAATAATTAGACCTTCGGCACCAGCGGTTTTGTTGCCAGCATGAAAGTTTCAAGCCTTGAGCCACAAGATCCGGCGAGAGGTCTCCAAGGGGTGCAGGAACTCTGTGCCTTGGCTAACGTCTCCTCGACCCGTCTAAAATTATCCGCGGGCGGAGATACGCGCCTAATGAGGACCTTCTCGCAGGCTACGAAACCATCAAAAATTCATGTTACATAAACGAACGAAACCGTCTTGAGTCACATTAAGAAGATGTCATGACCTAAAACCCAATGATGCTATCCTTGGATGTTCAGTTCCACCGTCTCTATTGGAGGGTTGTCTCCAGTCTCCACGGTAGGAGTGGGGTCGGGGGCCTGGGTTTGGTATGTTGGCTGGTTAGCAGAGCTTGGAGGTTGACCACACCAAACGAACCAGAAAAAGCCTAACCAGTCTATTGAAACGAAGACAAATGGTTTTTATTGCTATATATAAACTCAGCTTTTCTTTTTCATAAAGATAACTTACCAGTCTCTGATCTTTCCGCTGACCGCAAAAGAATGAATATCATAAGGGCCATAAAACATGCGCAGAACGCAATTGCCAGGAAACTAACGGGACCCAGTCTCTCGAAAACCTGTGGCAAAAACAAAGGTTTTTATAGTATTTGAAGAGTTTGAACGTGAATGATAAGTATGTATTTCAGTTCATTATACAAGTAGCTATTGAGTAGATAAAAAAAATAGGGTTTGGTGGAAAAAGGACAATTTTATATAGAGGGTGTGTTTTCCAAGTCTGCTTAAATTCGACTAGAAAAACGCTAGCTTGAGAAATAGAAGGGAATTATTTTGCATTCATTGTTCGCTCCAATACTAAGTACAACATGCAAATCTTCTCTCAAGCACTATCGACAAAAGTATTTCAGCCACTCACCTGTCCCACTACCAAGGGCAAAATTAATTCTCCGAGAGCTGCACTTACGATCATTACACTGGTCACAGGAGCTGCGAGCAAAATGAGGAAAGGTTTGTGAAAAGAAATTATTACCGAGTCGTTACGTATGAGGAGGTACGAACGATTGAGTATTCTCTGGTCACGGGAATTGATTGTGCATTGCAGCACTAAGATGAGGAAGTAGTTATTTTCTGACCTGTGAGGTCGATGTAGTACTCAGCGAGCGCAATGCTGGTTGGGAAGACACTACTCATGAAAAGGCCAGCCCCCGCTGTTCCTAACCAGAGTGCAGGCTCACTTTCTTCAAATATCAACATGAAAAGTGTCGACGAGAGGCAGCCAGTCTGAAATGGGATGATGAGTTTTAATTGTTAACTTCAGATGATGAAATGAAGGCCTCAAACATGAAGACTTTAGAAAACTCTAATCGTAGTTTTCAAGAACTTATTTGTTACTATGTATACTGGATATCTAAAAGAACTTTTTGTTCTTCGTAATTTCAGTTATTCACTGAGAGGAAAGAATATTCTAACTCTACCCATACCAAAAACAACAAAATATGGTCTTGAGTGCATCCGATATCAAGCAGCAAAAACTTGGAATTCGCTCCCAGACAGCATGAAAACAATTACATCATTTAAAGATTTTAAGATAGCCATAAGGAAAATAAACTTTTAGTAGTAATTCTTTTATTATTATATTGGTAGTAGTTCCATTCATAATTTGACAGACTTATGTATTTTTCTTTCTCGAAGATATTAGCTCAACAGAGCTACTCTGAAAATTCGAGTCGAAATAAAGTATATGTATGTATGTATGTATGTATGTATGTATGACAACATCTAAATTGCTGTCCTCTTCTCGAGGACGTTGCAGAAATGGTGGGGGAGGGGGGAGAGGGAAGGACGGGGCTTTTAAAGGTTCATGCGACCTCCGTTGTATTCCCAAGAAGAAAATGTCAATAGTATTCCGGGATTGATGTGATTTTGTTTCACTTTACTCTGCGGCCGCTTGCTAGTTTCTATGTTGGAGTTATCATTGGCTCTTGGTAATTACTTACTTCTTTTCTGATTGGGATTTGTGGTTATCTTTGATTTGAATATACGACATACGATAGATATACGATATATATAAATAGGATATATATAAATACGATATATCCTAACCTAAGTCAATTAGAAAACGGCCTGATAGGAAATAAAGAAATAGTCGAACCTTAATGTCATCAAAAGGAACGTTAGAGAAAAAGCCCATGTTAAAGTTCTGCGTACGCCCTTGCGTCTCGGGCCGGCTTCATGCTGTATCTGTGTTTTATTTTTGCTTTAATTTGGGTGGGTTCCTACTTTTTCATTGTATAATGGTGATTATTGTGTGGTAGTATGTGAGGTTGCTCCAGCCAAAGTTTTTCAGCTTCAGCGTATAAGTGTGTGGAAGAAACGAAAGAAAGATCACTTAACGATTTCTGAAATTTGCAAGTCAATCTATGTGGTTACAACGTTTACAAAATTCTCCAGAATATTAATTAATTATGTTACCAAGTTTATCATCAGCATTGTGGGAGGCTTCACATACATCGCTACAGGTATGGACACAAATCGACCAACTGACAACGAACCCTGAAATTATAGAGATGATCGTAAATTAAATACCATCACCAATAGTTTTAAGTGTGTAAAAGAAAGGAACGTTAGTGACACTCGGCGGCGCCCTGTGTGCCACATTTTGATGCTATCTGGGATCTATTGGGGACTATAACATAATGAACATAGTACGCATCGTCTGATTGGTCAATTCAGTTTCCAAGTGGATGCTGCAGTAGGTTCTAGAGTCTGCATGTAACTAGTTGTGTCATAAAAGCAATAGAGCAAATTTTTACAGACATTGTAACGGGATAAAGCCATGCGGGATGCTGGGGAAAAAACCCAACTGGGGTGGATTAATCACGTTCTACAGCCCGGAAAATGCGTTCTATTACTTCACGATATTGTGATGTATAATTTGGAGTTTTCTTAATGTTTTTAAACAGCTGTAACGTGCAAAAACTAAACTCATCATCTTGAAATCAACGTTATTTAGTCACAAAGATGGCTATAGAGGTTCGGCGGGGGGGAGGGGAGGGGGTAGTGAAAACAGCGGAC